TAGAGGGAGGGGTGTACGCAACCTGTAAATGACAAATGACTAAATTGGAAGTTTTTCCTTTCAAAGGAATTTTAGTTATTTGCCAATTACAAGTACAAAGGTCTAGTGAGAAAAGTTAAAAGTTCGGAGAAGAGGTTTTCTCTTTCTTTCTTTCTTTTTTTGTTTTGGAGAAGAGGTCTAGTGAGATACCCAAAGTTCAGGAGGGTTCTGTGAGAAAAAGATTCAAAGGGGCTGATAGAATTAATATAAAACTATAATACTTGATCTTCACCATAACTTCAAAGTTTTGGTGTAATGGTTAGGAGAACTAAATTTAAGATGGTATCAGAGCAACCTAGGTTCAAATCCCACCGGCCACGAATTAAATGCGGATTTTCTAAAAATTGACACCGCTACATGAGTCTAGGTTTCAACCCATAAAAAAGGGCGCTCAACCTGCGGGGGCAAGTTAGAATTAATATAAAACTATAATCATTGATCTTCCATAATTTCGAAGTTTTGGTGTAATGATTAGGGGAACTAAATTTAATAGGGGCAATGTGCAAAGCCCCCCATTTCAGGGGTTTTTGTGAAATTAATCAATTACATATGCTAAAATAGTATGATTATACCTAGATAGGTCATCCAACAAGAAGGAAGGTGTTTCTGCATCATCGTCTTCCTCTGTCATTAATACCCTCATGTTGGATAGAACCTGCAAGTTGACAATTAAGAAACAATCATTTAACGGGTTCATTGATATTGATCAATATATTTTTTGAGCACTTTGTTGTCATCCATGCCATGCCATGCACAGGACTTCTTGTTATAACAATGGTGCATATATATTATGGTAGTGCCTTGGTTATCACATTAGTGCGTATATATTATGGTTGTTATGATTTGACAACTATAATAATATAGAGCTAGATAACAATTTCACATTTTCATAAACAAAATAAATGCCCATCAATATTTTTTTTCTCGTAGGAACGTAAAAAATTAGTAAGAACAAATGTCAATATGCAACTGTTTCCAAGTTAAAAAGGTTGGATTGAGAGTGAAAGAGAGAAATAAAGAGATAAAAACATTTAAATATTTTTTCAAAAATTACTTGTCACTTACTAATTATAGGAAGTTATAGATCCAAATCTCTAATCAGATGCCAACTGTGCAACTGGCTTTCCTTTTAGCATATACTATGACACTGGTAATGAGAAATAAGTCCTCTTGTAGTTCCAGTAGTTATCCCAGAAAGTATGGGTAATAGAAACATGCATTAATAAACTCCAAACAAGAAATTACTAATTGAAGGACTGTCATAATTTGTAATGCTTACTGGTAATAGAAGAAAACTGAAGTTGAAATTATTCTAGAAAATTCCAGAATGCAATTATTTTGAACTCACATCTGTTGAAACACTTTGGGTGTCATATTTGTCATCCCAGTACTGGGTGCAAATTCTGTAAAGCTGCTGCACACTCAATGTCTGCAGAGGACAAAAATGAAGTCAAATGTTTTTCTCTAAAATGTTCCTCTGTGCCTTTGTGTGTATGTCTGTGTGTTTATGAAGTGAGTAAGAGAGATTACTGGGCACAGATCATTGGCTATATCGTCATAGGTAACCCTAGCTTTGTGAAATATCACCTGCGTGAGACATAATAAGTATAAATGCATCAGACAGGAAATGACATACCACCAAAAGAAAAGG